TTTCCGAGTGACATACAATGCGCCCTCGCGCTGCTAGATCGATTACCGTGAAACTTTCATTTGGAATCGGATTTTTTTCTGCTTTTTGCCATGAACCACAGGGCCGCCTAAACCGCGGTGCCCTGGGTCTGGGGCCCTCAGGTCCATGCCTAAGCTGGGCTTTTGTCTATAACATATATTTATTTCATAATATTCTGACGGAGACACCCGTCATCCACTGGTCCACTTGACATGGAATGATCCGTTAATCTTTGCTAGCTCCTGGACTATAATTAATTAAATATCTACACTGTTCTGTTCTACGTGGCTGATTCTGGTACTTTTGTGTCTTTTCTATCTGAGACCATGCAGAACAAGACAAACATTTAATAGACTACAAGCTTTATAAGATTTTAAATGTAAAAGTTGAAGAATATGAAACGCATGAGTAGATTATAAGTAATCCGTATGTCCAGTTTTATCTTTTTCACTGCGAGATCCCCCCTGTTCATTTTCTTCTCCACATTATTTTTTTATCTGCATTCTGCATTGACGATCTGGACCCCCCCCCCCCCCTATTTTAACTTCATTCTGACGAAGACGCATTTATCAACCAAGAGATGAGATGAGATGATCCACCCGCTCTTCTTACGACAAGGTATTTGTTTATGTAAATAATATTAATTAAAATCAACTTCCCATAAGATCATTAACAATGTATTGTACGTTAACATAGTAATAACCAATAAAAACAACATTCAATCCAGAAGCCCCGCCCCTACCTAACAACGGTAAGATATCGTATATGATAATTAGAAAGCTGCCCATTCTTGGTTTATCGTCGACTATTTGTATGACATTTAAAGACGTATAATGTCCAGTACATGTCCATATTTGGTAATATACAACTTACGATATTATTACCCTACGGCTAGAAAGATTGAGCTTATATTTGGTTATAATTTATTCAACCCTATATATTAGCACGTGTTTGTATTACGTATTTCTATTGCCCGTTCCCCTTTCATTAAAACGAGCTATTAAATATGCAACATAAAACATGAATGGTTAGACATTCATGTCTATTTTATATTCAATAATAGAAATACATTCATAATACAGATTATCCATAAACACCCCGTTGATCTGTTTCTAGGTGGTAAAGTCAAACTCTTATAAAAAAGATTGTTTAGCTGTTTATTACACGTTGACATCAATACTTTATATGTTTATTGTGAAGTACCTTGATATTTTCCCCAAGAAATTGCATTAAGGTAATTGAACGTAGTTAATTTGTATATCGTATCATACTCTACAAACATTGAGTAGGGTGTGTGAGAGTGGGGATTAACTAGGTCAACTGGGAGAGGAGGGGGGGGGCACTAGATACAATTCTATATCCATAAACCGCTTGGGCGGAGAGGTCGTTAGCAGCGGAAGGATATGGGCGGTCCTGTGATATAATCCACCTTACTTCTTGTCATGTACACATGACTCACTGACAGACCTTATGATCTAAACCTTGTCACATGACTAAATGACAGACCTTATGAACTAAACCATGTCACATGACTCAATGACAGACCCAATGATCTAAACCACGTCACATGACTCAATGACAGACCTTATGATATAAACTACACGTGTTAGACGCACAGCCCTCTAAATGTGTAAATTAGAAATGTGAGTGTATGGGGGTGAGGGGTAGCAGATGTTCTGAAAGAGTAAGCACACACTGCCTTGAACACACCAACTATCACATTGAAAGCCATATAAACATCTCGTTATGATGGAAAATACCCAGTTGTATATATTGTTATAATGGACAACGAGTACGATTATGTCGTGTTCCTCCTTCAATCTTTCTGTATTAAATAAAATGACATGGGGTTAACGTCCTACTGTTCTATTCCGACTGGGTTAATAAAGACAGGCATACGTCATGCAGTGTGCTATGAGAGACATTTTTCCCGGGCAGCGGCACTATGGCTTACTTTTATTTCGATTTCCAACTGCCAAGGGTTCTTTTACGTGCACGTGCACAGGACTTCGGTTTTCCGTCCCACTCGAACGACTACAAATTATCCAATTTCTTGTGAAAGTTTTGTGGTGAAAAATACCACAGACCCAAAACACTCTATGAATATTATTTTAACTCGAAAATGTTGTGGAATGTATTTATTTTCAGAAACCCAATATCCTGTGGAACTCTTGTGGTGAAAAGTTCCAGACAAATGCCCCCAAACCTTGTCATAGATGCGTCAGATGGCACAAAACAATGAGTAACCATGGATATAAAAGGGGACCTTTTGCCAGTGTGTCTAGTCCTTCGGATTGCACAAAACAACGAACAACCGTGAATATACAAAGGGATTCCTCGGCAGACATATTGGGTAACATAAGTAGATGAAAATCGCAGTAATCTTAATCGTTGTATTAACGAGACATTAAATCCCAGCGTTTTTAAGTTGTCCTGACAAAATGTCACTGATAACAATTATTAATTAATGTATCGACCCGAACAAAACTCTCGAAGCTGCTTTTGTCCAACCCCATCCCATTTCTTGACATGTGTAATCAGGGTATTACTGAAACAATGTTCTTCGGTTAATTAACCACACTCAGTAGCAAACTCGACAGTTTTCCGGGGGCGAATTGCGAATGTCTCGAACCATATAGAAAATGTAGAACCGTACAACGAATGCCGCGAACCATATAGAAAATGTAGAACCGTACAACGAATGCCGCGAACCATATAGAGTATGCAGTACATAATGCGGATGTTACAACGAATGCCGCGAACCATATAGAGTATGCAGTACCTAATGGAAATGTTGCAGCGATTTTGTGAGTATCTGTAAGATGAAAAGTCAGGATCTGATGGTTTCAGTCAGTTTGGGAGTAGCTGATTTCATGGTTTGATTCGGTACACGGTTTGGTTTGAATTCTTGTATATGGGACTAGATGAAAAACAGTTTAAAATAAAAATATTTATTTAACAGATTAATTAGTTAACCAATTTAAATGTACAGACTACACACACTGGATAAAGCAATAATAATTAATTAATCATTTCCTGGTTAAAACAATTTAAAGCTATATATGGGCTACACACACACTGGATAAAACAACAATAATTAATTAATCATTTCCTGGTTAAACCAATTTAAAGGTACAGACTACACACATTGGATAAAACAATAATAATTATTAATCATTTCCTGGTTAAACCAATTTAAAGGAACCTGGGGCAATTGGATTCCCATTTTCCACGTCTATAAATAACAGTTTATTTTTTGTTTTTGTGCAAACTTTAATTTTATGCGTACTTTGGTAACATTGAGAATTCATCATGCTAAGTCTAATATTGCCTTGTTAACGTTTAAGGATATCTGAATTATTTATCATTATACAACATTTATAATGTACACATCCTTCCCTCTACAAGACCTTTAGTTTCAATAGCATATCAAATATATATATAAAACTTACAATAGCATATCCCATCAATACAATAAAATTTATTTTACTTGTAAAGTTTCCATAAGATTTGTAAAATAATGGTATACGAAAAATCAATATCAAATAAATTAACTAAAAACAAGTTCTGATAAATAGAGAATCTCCTACGGGTGTTTTTGATATCAAAAAATATCAACACAAGTCGATAAAGTAAAAAATAAACCTTGGCTTTGCTGAGGTTTTTTTTTAATTTATCGACGAGTGTTGATATTTTTTTATATCAGAAAATGACGAGTAGGAGATTTTGGTTATCACCCAATCCTTTCTTACATGCAGAAATAAATAAGTAATATAATTCTTTGGTATAGATTTCACTTCTACTGAACCTGATTACATTCCGGCGTAGCGATACATCATTTTTGTGACTGCAATTCAACCATAGCAAAGTCCTTTAAATAAAGATAGTTAATTTTTAATAAAAAAATGAACCGTTCTTTGAAAATAAAACAAGTAGTTCCTTTTCAACTGACCAATCAAATATTTTACAGAAACAAAACAAGATTTAGTAACTAAAATCAATGAGTATTTTTAAAAAGCACCTTTCCAGTAACAACCTTTTGGACAATTTTATATATTCAGAGTATAAGTTTTATTGCTTTTGGTAAATATAAATTTCAGTGATCGTGCCTAGATGAACGAAATTAACCGCATATGTGGTACTTACATTCCACAAGCTTTTCGACTTAAAATAATTATGATAGAGCGTTTTACCACAAAAATATTTTACTTAGAAAACATAATGTTTCAAAATGTCTTCTCGGACCCCCATTCCACAAGAGATTAATAGGGGGTTGGATTGCCGAATGGTTCGCGCGCCGCGTTGTATCATAAAGTCTGTCATTAAGTCAACTGGCGGGGTTTCGATTCCCCGGTTGTACGTTACAGGGTGTAGGGTCGCCTGTTCATCCTCGAGGCTTTTCTCCGAGCGAATTACTGAAATAAAATTGAACCGTATGTTAGTCCCGAAATGACCTAAGTTGTTTCGAGTGGACGTTAAACACCATTCCTCTCTCTACGCCCGTAAAGACAATTCTAATACTCGGGTTCTACTACACTACGTTGGTGCCGAAAGTATGTTTAATATCATCTTCATGTTTTAATGGTGACTGTAAGCGTTTTAGTTTTATTGGATAATTAATATTGGAGAAGGATGTCCGGGTACAAGTCTTTTACCTCGTATTGCGCATGTAACCATATATAGGCAAGATACTATCATATGACGCAAGTATTCCATTTAATGTTTACCGTGTACGTAGAAACATAATCCTTCTACATAACTTCATATCTTTCCTATCCATGCCCACCTACAGAAAATGGTTCCACATAATTAATTTCAATGTCGGTATATCTGTTTGTTTCTCTTACTGGCGTCCTCTATTTGTCATTGCACTTATATTTTGCAACAGAAGCAACAAGGTCACATTGACCCTATATTTTGTTTTTCCCATCGGTATTGCGCCGCTTTGTCAAAATTTGAATTATCTCGACAAAGGGATATAGGACACGAAAGACAGTCGTGCGGAACGAACTAGTTAGTACATTTTTTTCTATTACACTAAACACTATTTATGGATAACAATTACTGGTTTATTAACATGCAACGTTTCGACGATGATGACATTTATTCTAGCTTATTGATGCTTGGTAACTGCAAATATAGGCCTCCTTTTCGCGTTTTTTAAAATACAGGGTTTTAATCTTAACTTATCTTATGACTCAGTTGTACACAAATAGCACATTTATTGAGCAACGATAATATATGAAAGGAAATATTTTCGAAATATGATACTGATACCCTTTATGTTTATATGTATAAATGATCAGCCGAGCGAAGTGATATGAAAGTAATTTTTAAAAATAGTTATTACATTTTAATCTATCCAAGCAGTGTCGGATTTACCGATGGGCTTGGCAGACTGAAACATAGCGCCCCAAGATCTAGGGGGTCTCGGGCTTAGGTGTATAGTATTTTTAACACTGTCGTCCTCCTTGACTTTGCTTAAACACATTTTCATGTTCCTCTAGTCGCAAGGGTGGCGAATTGGAAGGGGCCTCATAAGCGGGTAGCCTAGGGTATCTCTCCATCTGAATCCAACACAGCTCACAAGATTATAATTGTGGGGAAGTGTAATATTACAAGAACTCTAAAAGTAAATAAAGAATCGCAATATTGCAAGTTTATACAGAAGTTACAAACAATGATTATTTGGAATATTAATCCGACAAACTTTCCTATTGTAAATGACATTCAAAAAAGACATTTCCCCCCAAAAAAAAGCAGGGCACACCGCTTTAATCTAAATTTAGTCTGTTCCTGTGCGTCTTTTCAATCTGAAGAACAGAACAAATTGACTGGAAATCAGCCGACTGTAATTCATTGTCCAAATACCAAATGTTTCGTACTATCTTTTTTCACGGCTATTATTTTCCCCCGTGCAGCCCCCCCCCCCCGCCTTCCACCCACGGATCCCTCTGACTTAACGGACCCCAGGTTGGAAAACACTGTCTTAAACATTGTGCTTTTCTAATCTACTTCAAAAACTACTTGCCAGTTGGAATTCGACTGTTGTCCGAGCAAACACTCCCCCATGGCTTAATATAATCTGGGTTTTTTTTAGAATTTTCACCCAAGTCATTTGTAATATTATTTGTTTTTTAGGAATTTCACCCAAATCTATTTGAATATAATTTGTTGTTTTTTTCAAATTTTCACCCAAGTCAATTTTAATATAATTTGTTTTTAAGATAATTTGTTTTTGTTTTTTTAAATTTTAACACAAGTCAATTTTGATATAATTTGTTTTTCATAATTTCCAACCAAGTCATTTGTAATATAATTCAATTTTAATATAATTTTTTTTTATATAGTTTTCACCCATGTCAATTTTAATTTCCACCCATGTCAATTTTAATTTCCACCCAAGTCATTTGTAATATAATTTGTTTTTTAGAATTTTTTAGTATTCGTATTAAATATAATTACATTCAAAAGAGAAATCTATGAAGGACTTGATGACTGGTATAGGTGTAATCTTAAAGTTACTCCGATAGACATGCACTGACATGTATCATAATAGCAGATCATTTTAACAAATATAACACTTGCATGTATAACTCTTTTTCTGGGAGTTGGTGGTTTACTTTCATAAAAATGAAATGAAAAGGGGCATAACGTCCTGCTGTTCGACTCCGACTGGGCTAATAAAAACAGGCATACGCAATACAGTATGCTGTGAGGGAAATGTTGCCCCGACATCGGCGCTACGGCCTACTCTTATATCTAATTTCAACTGCCAAAGGATCTTTTATGTGCACGCCAATGTGTACATGGGACCTTGGTTTCTCGTCACATTCAAACGACTAGACAGATGTCTTTGTCAGGCCATTCGTTCTGCACCACCTCCAGGCTAGCGAGTCAGCGTCTTACCCACCACTTATCCTACACACTGACCCTAGTCCTTCTGTATGACTTCATGCAATGAATAGGCCGTTGTATATCGTCACAAAAGAATCGAAACTATAGAACATGATTCATTATCGTGACATATCATATAAGATATATACATAATATCCACTGCCCCCTAACTTACGTGTAAATTGAAAACCATAATTGGTATTTCATCTAGTTCACAAAATAAAACGCCCGAAATCGAATAAAACACTAATTGGTATTTCCTCTAGTTCACAAAATAAAACGCCCGAAATCGAATAAAACACTAATTTTTCTCTTATTTTAATTGTATACCACGAGGTTGTACTGAATTGACTATGACTTATAACATTTTGTCTGGAGCCACTTTAGTTTGTTTGACATTTGTTACAGTATTCGTTCTTCAAAACTCAACTCTGTTTATAGCTCCATACAATACTTTTATTGTTAACTTCTAGACGACCTCGCCTAGTCTCATCTTGTCTGACCAGGTTTCGATTCTAGCTTATAAACCCTTCTAGACAACGATCTCACAAGATTACACATCTGCCTACTGCATCATATCAGATTTAAGATTCAATACAGATTGCTTATAAGACAACGGACATTACATAACACGAATCAGCTATAAGTTTATATTATGGTATGACTAATGAGTGTCAGAGCCATCATGGGTGTCAATGGCCAACATCAGAATATTTTAATAAATTCAACTGTCATTATGTAACACATTTATCGGGCATCGAATATTATTTGCTAATGCTACTACAAGACTCCGATTGGATTGTTGGAAATCAATCGGCATAAAGTGGGGTTTCGGTTGCAAAACAATTGGAAACTACGTGAAAATTGATAGGTTGTTTGGGATTGAGGTCAACCTTTAAAGTCAGGCTATATCGGACCACATTGATGTTGGTGTATTCACAGGCGGGATAGCTTGTATTCACAGACCGGAATAACAGGGACACGTGTTAGTGACAGTTAAATTTTCAAAATTTTCTCGCGACGCTTCCTTCTACGTGGACTGTAAACGATTGATTAGTTGAATGGAATTCGAGTCATTCTTGGTTGGGAGAACCCGACATATACTATTCAAAAAAAGTAGGGGATATTTGATTTTTAAGTGTTATTAAAGTCACCTAATGAAACTGACGAAGAAACAAATGACAAAATGAAATGAAGTTCACATTCATCGATTTATTCCAAATGATCGTTAGACTAAGTAAGGCACAGACTGACCATTATAAGGGTAAAATGATACCCGGGGTCAAACAGCAAAGTTACCACAGCATCACAACCAAGTCAGTAACGGGTAAATCCTCCTCTGTTTGCCAAACAAGCATTGATCCGACGTGGCATACTCCTAATGAGACGTCTAAGGTCATTTTGGTCCAGATTGTCCCATTCCTGTTGCAACGCAGCAGCAAGTTCTTGGACATTGGCAGGACGTTGTTGACGTTGACGTAACCTCTGTCCAAGCATGTCCCAGACATGCTCGATGGGGGAGAGGTCGGGACTCAGTGCTGGCCAAGGTAATGTGGTGATGTTCTGTTGTTGGAGGTAACCTGTAACGATCCTGGCCCTGTGACATCTTGCGTTGTCATCCTGGAAGATGAAACGGCGGCCATGACGTCGTGCGAACGGCACAACATGGACTGCCAAGATGTTGTCCCGGTAGTACTGGCCTGTAACACGCCCTGCAACAACATGTAAAGCCGTTCTTCCAGCAACAGTGATGCCTCCCCACACCATAACAGAACCACCCCCAAATCGATCATGTCTGATGACGTTAACGTCTTGGAAGCGCTCGTTTCGACGACGCCACACCCTCCTACGTCTGTCCAAAAAATCAACAGTGAACCTTGACTCATCTGAAAACATCACATTGCTGCAGCGTCGATTATCCCAGTGTTGACGATCCCTACACCAACGACGTCTTGCCTGAATGTGATGATCTCTCAAACAAGGGATCACGCGAGGACGTCGGGCGCGAAGGTGACCCCTATGCAGTCGATTCCGAATCGTCTGGCCACTCACTCTCACACCAGTGTCTGTTTGAAGACGAGCGCTGATCTTATTTGCTGTGATGACACGATTTCTCAAGGCCAAGGTACGGATAAATCGATCCTGGGCTTGAGTTGTCGCCCTTGGTCGACCTGAGCGTGATCTGTCCTGTACAGATTGTGTATCACGGTATCTGGACCATAGCCTGCTTATGACAGACTGAGAAACATTCATCGTCCGCGCCACAACCGCCTGTGTTGTGCCGATCTGTAGCATGCCAAGGGCACGTAACCTTTCATTTTGGGTAAGCCGACGCATATCAAAATTTGTTTTCTGGTCACTAAAACAATTAAACTGATGTTTCCACCCTGGAATTCAATGCCACAATGACTGTAACATTCAAAGTCAGAGTCGTGCAAATCTTGGGTTGGACCCCCATGATGATCCCAAGCATCACCTGCATTCCATGCGGTAGTTATTGGTGCGTTTGGGCGTCACATGTAACTGGAAATGTTTCTTCTGTTAGGTTCTATAGTGACTTTTTTCGTAGTCATTTGCATATTTTAGTATTATGCCCCCAAAATCAAATATCCCCTACTTTTTTTGAATAGTATATTTTGGAACATTTCAGGTTTTGTTCCCTTACCATTCATCGATCCCGTACGCCTATGAACACAGCATATACATAATGTGCAAGAATGGCCTAATATGAAATTAATATTTTGGTGAATTTCTTGATAAAATTATTTATTAAATTAAGATGTGTCTTAGTTCTGGCATTGCATATTTATATATAAGAGAGGGTCGTTTACTTACAGGGACGTGGACAACTGTCGTAGATTGGGGACAGATTATCACATAAAACATGTTATATATACAGTCAATATCAGTATTAATAATGTCATTGTTAATAAACATAAATGAGTGTAATTAATATTGATATATCTACAGATGAGTAAAATAAATGAATGTAATATCATTGATACATCTACAGACTAGTAAAATAAATGAATACTATCTTCAGTTTATGTTTTTCAGACAACATAGTGTTCGATTTTAAAATCAATGTTGATATGTTTGGGGTCTTATTCACATTCACTTTTTAATAACAGTGAGTATAAAATAATCGTATTAAAATAATTTGGTGTTAAAAATTGTCCCCCATTTAAATGAGTATATATCATGACTTTCCAACTCTCTGGTATTGCTACTTGGGTTATATTATACAGTTTCCACACCATACAAGGGTTTATTTCTGAATATAAATATTGTCTATCCATAGATATTCTATTATGACGACATGCACGGCAGTATTTTAAGTCTCTCAAACCACTTCTAATCTTCGCTACAGGTTGGATATAGTCCATCATCATACCTGAGACACTGGTAAGCTGTATATAGTCCAGTATCATACCCGAGACACTGGTAAGTATGTGCCTACTTCATTGTTTTTAATTCGATTATTTCACAACTGGTCAACACTTCGTAAGGATAAAATGGGTCAAGTTTGTGGTTTTTATTCCGTACCTCGGCCTGGACTAGAATGAGCTGTACGCCAAGTAAGAAGTATTTCTACATTGCAGGTGTATACGTGTAGAATATATATTGTTTGATTAATTACTTATCCCTGTACACATGAGGGATGGGCATTATTGATTATATTTAAATAACAACCCCCTCTCTCTCTCTCTCTCTCTCTCTCTCTCTCTCTCTCTTGTGTGTGAAACACTATTGTTTTTGTTATTACTTATGTTCTTCTGATTGTTATTATTATTTTTCTTCCAATTTGATCATATCTCTTGATCAGATGCCTTCAGTTTTACCGAGAAAGTGATTGTGACTTACAGATAAAAACTGTTTCGAACGTTCTACTACAATACGAAAAGTCCAAAATCAACTTTGTTGTCGTTTTTTTAAATATTGCCGTATTATTAACAATAATGATCAGATTTTAACATTTGATACATTTTGAAATAGCCGGAGATAGGGCACATAGCCACTATACTTTAGATTTTTGATTTTCGTAGAATCCGTTATTAATCGCTAAATTTTGACAATTTTTTTTTTATTGATGAATATTCTTTTGTGGCATTTTACCTAGTGTGATAGGGTCATCTGATTTGAGCAAAAAAGTGAACAATTTTTGTCTCGATAATTTTCCTTAGCAGCCATTGGCTAATTCAGTTTATAGGTTTTAGGTTAATTATTTATAGCCAAATTTGCATAAATTAAAGTACACATGTCCCGTGGTGCCCTTTCGCAACTGTTTTTATTTAGGATAAAGTTTCCTGTCGGCACCGCAAGTGGCGTAATTTTGCCCAAAACTACAATTTTTAGAAGCAAATATTAATTTTTACAAATCTGATAGATCAAGATCAATGCCCCTACTACAGGCACAGAATATGTCAACATGTGGGCTCATATTTTTGTTTAATTGCCGGTTTTGTATTTGCGCCATTTCGATTTAAAGGTGAATAAAGATGTAAAATATGAGATATTTACAATGGATTCGGGCTTTTCCTATTTTGAAATATTTCTCGTAACTTCCATAAACTTGTAACATTAAGTCAAAGTTAGTTTGTAATATGAGCAGTTGCTGAGAAATAGTCAAATGTGTATGAATCACTTTTCACGTTATTTTACCTGTAGAAGAGTCCATTACTATTGTACTTTCATAAAAGTGATACCATTTGATGCATAAAACAAATATGTGTTATGTCAAATTGATTACAATTGAACATTGACACCGGGGGAGACGGCCTTTTCTCGAAAAATGGGAGTATTTTTTACCTTCTAAAACAATATTTCTTATCACTATAATTACTTGCTACGTTTTAACTTTCAGTTTAAATCAACATATCAATAAAAAGGACATGGCCATATAGATATCACAACATGGTTTGTAATTTGTTCAATTGAGACGAAATAGACGATTTTCTAAAAAGTCATTTTGCATGGTTTCTGGTTTACAAAAGTGTCAAATATTATTTGATTTTCATACAATTTTCCCCATGTGATACCTTATGCCATATATGATTTCATAAAACTAATTTAACATTTCATTATCAACGGAAGTAATGTCATTTTGGCAAAAACAATAATTTTAGCCTCCAAAACAAATATTTGTTTGAAGTAAGTGATATTCCATATTCGTATAGAATTTTGATTTCAATGGACAAAAACACAGATATCAAAGATGTGTTTCTTACATCTTCCCTTACCGAGAAATAGCCAATATTGTTGTGAGGATTTTAAAGCTTTTTCACATTTTAATAAGGCTTTGTATAAAAGGTTAATTCTGTTCAAATCGAAGTGGTTATTTCTGCAATCCAATTTATTTATTTTGTTGATAACGAAAGTGGTATCATAGTGTCAAGTCGTCGCTGTATAATTGAAACTGATATCGCTGGATTTATTGGCTAATTATGCGTTCAATTTATGACACTTGTGCAATGCTCATTGTGTAAATCTGTTAACGTTTCCATTGCTACGGGAAGATGTGTCACTTCAAGGGTAATGTGGCACCGACGAAACCCGTCATCACTGCATCACAGTTCCAGTTATATTTATTATTGTAAGGTTCGTTTCAATTAAATGAAATTGAATAGACAAAAACTCTGTGGCCGACAAAATTTAACCGGACACTCTCGAGATATCGAGTCATATCCTGCCCTCGTGTTCAATAATACTTAACATAAAAAGAAAACAATTTGATTTGCAGCGTCTGCATTTTCGATCCATAGAGACATTTCTCGTAGTTGAAATTGTAAGGAGAACTGACTCAATCTATGCCGAACTATTGACTGAAAACTGTACAGAATTACTCGTCTTTGAATAAACCTTGAAATAGCGAAAAAACATGAATAGGATTATTGATGCAATAATAGAATTTCATGACCCCACCAACTCCGATAAATTACAACAGTCTTCGAGGAATCAAAACTAAATTTATCTGTGTATAGGTTTAATTTCAAACTGCGTTCCCCGAGAAATGGTGACGTATCTCTTTTTGTTCCCCAACTTTTGTTTCATTATTAACTTGAAAGTGTACCACTAAACCAATAAACGAAACTTACTTACGAGATAGTTAACTCGTAATCACAACATAATTGTCTATAGATAGGTGCGAGCGGTACATTTTAAAAGGTATTATGCAAGATCTAAATTTTACAAGTCGTCTTGCGAGTATATTCTAGTCCTCGAACGCTTTTTGTGGGACTGTTATTTTTTTTAGCGATTAATAGTTGTGAAAGTTGAATTCCAAAATGGAATATCAGTTTAAAAATGATTCAATTAGTTACAGTAATTACAAAAATGATATTATAACTGGATTCTTATAAAATAATAAATATTAAGCGATCGTTTAGATATTTTATGGACATTATAGCCAATCTATACGGTGGCTGATAAGGGACATGAAAAATAATATCATTTTTTTTTTTATATTCACCCAAGTCAATTTTAATATATTTTTTTTTATAATTTTCACCCAAGTCATTTGTAATATAGTTTGTCAATTTTAATTTCCACCCAAGCCATTTGTAACCCAAGTCAATTTTAATAAAATTTGTTTTTAATATAATTTGGTTTTGTTTTTTTTTAAATTTTTTAACCCAGGTCATTTTAATATAATTTGTTTTTCATAATTTCCAACCAAGTCATTTATAATATAATTTAATATTCACCTTACTCAATTTTAAATAAAATTTGTCGTTTTTTTTTATAATTTTCACCCGTGTCAATTTTAACTTCCACCCAAGTCATTTGAAATATAATTTGTTTTTTTAGAATTTTCACCCGTGTCAATTTTAACTTCCACCCAAGTCATTTGAAATGTAATTTGTTTTTTAGAATTTTCACCCAAATCATTTGTAATATAATTTGTTTTTAGAATTTTCACCCAAATCATTTGTAATATAATTTTTTTTTTAGAATTTTTACCCAAGTCATTTGTAATATTATTTTGTTTTTTAGAATTTCACCTAAATCATTTGTAATATAATTTTTTTTTTAGAATTTTTACCAAAGTTACTTGTAATATTATTTGTTGTTTTTTTTTGGGGGGGGGGGGGGATTTTCTCACAAGTCAATTTTAATTTTCACCCAAGCCATCTGTGATAATTTTAATATAATTTGTTTTTTATTAATAGTTTTCACCCAAGTAAATTTTATAATTTCCACCCAAGTGATTTGTAATATAATTTGGGTTTTATAATTTTCACCCAAGTCAATTTTAATTTCATTTGTAATATAATTTGTTTTTGTTTTATAATTTTCACCAAAGTCATTTGTAATATAATAACCGAATGTGACCGACACAGAAACACTACAATATGTTAATATGGTAAAGGCCGTAATTATCTTGGTCATATATGACCTCGTGGGTTTTCCAGTGAAAGTGTCCGAAACATGAACAAGCCAATGTACGTACAATTAATGAATGATGATATTGATAAATAGTATCAATGAGAGTATGAAATCACTGGGGGTATAAACTAAATTATTTCGTCTTTATTTCTATACATTATTGAAAGCTTCCTAAAGGTTAAAAATCACGAGACGTACATTCGAGTCAAACAGGATATCTGCCTTATTATGTTTTTTTAAAATTGTTTGCCACGGTCGTCAAGTTAGCTCAAAATAGAAATCTATGAATAACTCGACGACTGGTATAGAGCTACTCTGATAGACATGCACTGACATGTATAATAACTGGGGCTCATTTTAACAAATACAACACTTGCATGTATAACTCGGTTTCTTGGCGTTGGTGGTTTACTTTTATAAAAATGAAATGAAATGGGGTTTAACGTTCTGCTGTTCGACTCCGACTGGGCTAATAAAAACAGGTATACGCAATAGAGTATGCTGTGAGGGAAATGTTGCCCTGACATCGGCGCTACGGTCTACTCTTATATCTAATTTCATCTGTCAAAGGATATTTTACGTGCACGCCAATGTGTACATGGGGCCTCGGTTTTTCGTCACATCCAAACGACTAGACAGGTCATTCCTTATGTACCACCTCCAGGCTAATGTTCACTGTCCGAGAGGGGAAAATCATACCCAAAACCCACCCAGACTGAGAGGCTGGTAAACACCGTCGCAAAACACAAGCTAGGGAATAGAGAACTTATATTTAGCTTATATTTAATGGCATAGCTGTGTGTTTTAGTTTCCTGTATATAATCGTTGTATTATGGATGTTATAAAGATATAAAAACATAGTTAACGTAAAAAGTGTACCAGAGTTAATTGATCATATTATGCACAACGTGAACGTCCTGACTAGTGTCACGGGCCGTATACACAACGATACCGTAGTGTCACAGTCTTAGTCATTTTGGTACCGCGACACGGGATAGTGTCACAATGCCATTTATTAATTCATAAAACTAATTTAACACTTTTATTTATGAACGGAA